TAGGACAGTTTTCCTTTCATACTCCCAGAACTGACAACAGAACATTTCCAGGGAACAGTGGAATGACCTGGGAGGGCTTGCAAACTACTGTAAAATTCAGAATCCTCCAATATACACTAGTCTTTTAATGTGAAAAGTAGAGCGTTTTATGTGTTCACAGAAATGTAACACAAAACAAAATTAGTTACCCAAGAGAAAAGGAAGTCTGCCCTGTGAACTAAAATACCATCTGCTATGTTCACAGCAAAGTGAAGATACACTGTGTATGGAGCCAACAGTACTTGAAGAACTTAGGTTTACATGGGTTGGATCGAAAATTTTTATAATGTTATGGGAAAACAATATGCCATAGTTAATTGAAAAATACTTAAACAGTAATTCAATTTAAAAAAATGGAAATGCCAACAGACTTTTAAGTTTTAAAAAATTTAAATGTCTGTGATGGTTCCAGGAATGACAAGTTTTAAAGGTTAAATTTGGAGTTGGGGTGGTGGTTTATCAAATTTTCTCCAAACACACATGTATTACTTTGTGCATCATCCACTTTAGTACCAAAGCAATACTTGGAATATGTTAACACTTCCAAGCCACTATGTAGGCCAGGCTGGCCTTGAACAATGTACTTTCTTTAAAGAATGATCATGTTAGCTGTTTTTGTTCAATTTTAGTTTTACTCATTAATTTGACTTTAAAACCGTAGCTTATATACTGTGAAAATTGGAAGTCAGGACTGGAGATTAATTTGTCTATTTCTGGACCTTGAAGGTTCACCCCTACTATAGGAAATATATATTGAGATATTTGAGACATTTCCAAGACATCTGCAGCTTAATGTCTAATGATGATTGATTAAATTAAGGCACATACATATTATCAGTGAATACTAAAGCTAGTACAAATTTAGAAAAAATCATAGAAGATGTTCCATAGTTCACTTGTGACCATAAAATACTTTTTGTACCACAATGAGTATAGGAGTACAGAAGTAAAAGCTCCTCCACCCTCTAAAATCTTGGCAGTGGCTGTATCCACTGAAGGGAGAAAGGGGTTTCAGATTATCTTTCTTTTGTACATATATATTTTTATCTTGAATGAATACTTTTACTAACAAAAATAAATTTATTGTACATGACTATGGGATACTCAAAAATTCCCATCATCATAGGAAATGCACTGCTTTAGACTATTATCACTCATACTTTTCACATCCACAAGATGTTACTTCACCTTTAAGCTTTGACATTGACGAGAGTATCTGATGCCCTCTTGTGGCCAAGAATTTTTATAGGTTTATTTTTCACTGAAATTGGGTCTAAAGAATGGCAATCTACCTCATTGCTCTCCAAACGAAAAAGAAAAATTGCATAGTATAATTAAGAGTTTAAGGATAGGTGCTGGAGAGATGGCTCAGTGGTTAAGAACACTGGTTGTTCTTGCA